CTTGCCAACCTGCACCTAATAATTTCTGGTATTAAGTAAGCAGGATGCATCACTCCAGGGAGAGAGTGCACATTCCATTCCAATAATCTCTCTCTGGAATTTCCATGCGGAGGTGGAATGCATGGAATTCTCAATTTGGCCTGGAATGGTGATGGGTTTCTGTATGTATCAGACACCCAGCTAACAGCTGACCAAAAAAAATATTTTTTGTCTGATTATCTGATGTAGAATTGCAACTGCTCAGCCGTATTTGAACGTCAAGTGTTTCATTTCCTGCTTGCTGAGGTACTAAAGTTGCTTATTGCCTCCACTGACGTAAATTAAGCCCAATCTGCTCTGTGATAATAGAAGAGAGCTACTCCTGAAAAACTGTCCAAAGTACCTTAGAGTCTGACCTTTCAAATATAGAATCACTTTAGTCTAGGTCTAGGGAATTAGGACATCAAAATTGGCAGTACTTAACATTTAGTACAATCTCTGCTATTTAATCTCTGGTATCTGATAAAATCAAGGCCAGCTGGATGAAAAGGTTTGCCTAAGTGAAGTAGTATTATGTATCCCCACTAGAAGTACCAGCTTCACGAATGGAATCTTACTGTATCTTTAGCACAACACATATGGTAGTGTTTTCACAAGTAGCTGGCAATATTCCTCATGGGTGATATACATCTGTGTAATAGTGTACACCACACATCTGATCTCTATAAAAAGCAATTCACCTCTAGGTTGTCGGCTGTATGAGTGCTTACCTCTGTGCCAAACATCATCAGAAATAATCACACTTTTTGCAAATTATGAACTTTTAGACAACTTAGAAAACTGGTGCATAAGAGAAGTAAATTGTATAACTTAAGGCATTATCAATGTAGACTAAAGGAATGAGCCTTGTCATCATTAAAGCAAAGAAAATAAGACAAGTCCACAGACCAGGTCTTTATTGAAATTCCCTATCTAGTTCCCATTTGAAAGCTACTATGGATTCTGCCTCAACCATCGCTTCCAGCAGGGCATTCCATATACTAACCACTCTGCATCATCTTTTACACACAAAAAGTTAGGATATGGAACGTCTTGTGGGAGCAGTTATTGAGAAAGAATCAGTATCAGCTTTCAAAAGGGAACTTAGATGAATCTCTAACAGGAATAAACCACAGGAGTAAGGGGAATGGGCAGGGAAATAGGACTGAAAGGATTGCTTTTTAAAAGAACCAGCATGGATGCAATGGGCCAAATGGCCTTCTTCTGTGCTGTAAATTTCTATGTTCTATGGTGCTTAGTTCCTTTAAGTATGAGTTTGATGAATTCCTGATTATGAAAGATGTTAAAGATCACATGTGAAACAATGAATGACCGCATACTTCTTCAAAAGTCAGCACAGATACAATGGGCCAAATGGTTTTATTCTGTGCTGTACATTTCTATGATTCTATTGTTCTAACACCTTTTCCCCAGTCCTGTGAGAACTATAAAATGTGATGTATGAATTGCAGTGGGTTAGCATTGAATGATGCTTATGTTACACATTTAAAAGGTTATTCTAAAACCACCAAGGCTTAGTTCCATTTTATTTGTGGTCATGATGGTCAAATGTTACACTTATTCCACATTTATTCCTGAAGGGTTTACTTCTGATAGATTACTTCCTTGGGAGTTTAGTAAATTGTGAATGTTTCTTCAGAAGGATTGGTTTCGTAAGATGAATTGGCCTGTTCTCATTTTATACTTTCTTGTGTTAAGTGAAGCTATTAGATTAGCTTCACTAATTAGATTAGCTCCACCACCATGCTTAAGAGTATCCAAACCAAACTGTCAGTTCCATGTATATATAATATCTGCACAAAGAAATATGAGGAATGGAATGTGCAATCTCTCCTAGAAGGACAAACCCTGCTTGCCTAATTCTGGAGAGCCAAGGCTTGAGATCCCAGAGTATGGTGTGTTACTGTTTGTTGTGTGTTGTGTTGAGTTTAATTTAGTAAAACCACATAACTTTCCACCTTGGTTTATAGGGTTAACGGGAGCTGAGTAGGAAGAATCCCTTCTCCCAGTACCATTCTGCTGCTCCAAATCGAGCCAGACTGGCTGATCTATCATCAACAGTGCCCTAGTCTAGAGCACTGCAGACCCACTTGGTTCAGCAACTGGACTCCCTGAGATTGCCACAGAGGGTTGACTCAGTTCCAACATTCCATTGACAAGCACATTTAGCCAATTCCGCTCCAAGTGACCCTACTTATCACCATCCCCACCCCACAGCCCTCCCCACCCACACCCGGAGGATAGCATCCAAATGTCATGATCCACAATGTTTAGGATTTGTTACTAAACTCAATGCATCCGTCCTTTGGAAAAGACTGTAGCAAGATCCTGGCTGCTTGTTCAAAGAACGTTGGGAGTCTTGTAGCTCAGTGCTTAGACCAATTGCCTCATAATCGAAGGACCTGGGTTTAATTCTGGGTGGGGCGAAACATTGGGAAAGGTTCCTGAATCCACACGCCTCAGTTCACCTAGCAGTTAGTATGAACCCGATTGTTAGTCGATTGGCAGATCACTTTTCTGGAGGTAATAATTCCTTCAAAATAATAATAATAAATTGTTCACTCAATCCATGACTGTTTGTGAGACATTGCTGTGCACTATTGGCTGCCACATTTCGCCCACAAAGTATAGAGTCAATTCACTTTACAGTATATTCTGTGAAGCACTTTGAGAAGTCTCAAAGATGTGATAAGGCGCTAGTTCAAATGCAATAATTATTATTATTAGTCACTCTACTTTACAATAAACTCCTGTGAAGTGCTTTGAGGTGTTCTCCTGACATGAAAGGTTCTATATCAAATTTAAGGATTATTCTTGTTTGGGAATTTCCTGATGTATAATATAATTCACTACCATATTTTTGTCAGTCAGGTTGAAAGTGTAGATGGGGTGCCTTTAATAATGATGGCTTTTAACAGCCTTAGCCTAAGTGTTCATGAAAATATAATATCCTGTTATAAATTCTTTTTTAAAATAATGATTTCTAAATGTGTTCCATTTTTTAAAAGACATTTATCAGATAAATTCCAGCACAATGTATTTCCGTGTATGCTCTGAGCCTGAGGCGTGAAATAAGTCACTCAGGACTCAGCTTTGTCTCCTGCTCCTCCCTTTCTACTCAACTTTTTCGCTAGAGAAAGGTGGGTTAGGAAGCTCGGGGTAAATGACGAGACCTCATATTTCATGTCTCATCCGCACGTGATCAGTCACGGTCTTGACTGAAGATGGCAGTCCCAATCAGGCTCAGTAATGGTGTTCTTCATAGTTGACAAATCATGTTGACAGCCGCTGTCAAGACTCACACATAAAGACTGTTTAATTCAGCAGGAAATCAGAAGGCTGTTGAATCACCCCCAGTAGCATTGAATGAGCTGTTTAAAGAATTCAGAAGAGTTTTCAGTCAGTGTTCTTTCACAAACCAGATGCAGAAGTACAGGGAAAACAGTTTCTTATAACTTTGTCTGTCTTGAAAATAATTAATTCAAATTATTTTCAATACAACTTTGGTGTTTTAACCCATCTTTGTTTAATACTAATTTGTTTAGATTGAAAGAAAACCCCAAGCTTCGAACTAGCATCTTCCCACAATCTTGTGTTGCTAAAGCCAAATTAATTCTGACCCTTAATCTGGGTCTTGGATTTTCTGCACAGCCTTCATCCCTTCTCCCACACCATTTCAGCCTTTCAGCCACCTGAATCTCTGGAACTCCCTGCTTCAATTTCGGCATCTTTCTCCCTCTTTGCCCATCTTCAGATCACAGTTGAAGACTTTTTGTCCATCCCTTCGGTCACCTGCCCCCTCTTTCCAGCTCAGCACTAACATAAGCTGTTAAAGTGTTCCAAGATGCTACCCGCATGAAGATTATAAGATGCAAACTGTTGTTTTTTGTACTCTTAATTTCCATCTTCTGGGTCAAACACAGATTTTATTTTGCATGTATAGCAATCTGTACTCTGTATAAAGGCTTGAAGGGATATGGGAATAAGGCAGGGCAGTGCAATTGAATGAACACCTTGATCTGAGAGCTGATGCACTCAGTGGGCCAAATGGCCTCCTTCTGCACTGTAAATTACTATGATTCTATTATTGATTTTTAACTATATCACATACAATGCTCAGGAGTTCTCTCCAGCTTTAAATGGTCCCAAATGATGTAAATTTGATTAATTTAGTCTCTCAGATTAATGATGTTTGTGCTCGTGACTCTTATATTCCCTTAGAGCTAATCCCTCTTCAGTTCCATTTCAATGGCTTAGGTCCAGTGCTTGAAGGGAAAAAAAACGAGCAAAAATGTTGCTGTACTTGTGATATTTTGGTTCTCTTGGAGATCTGATCACATGTTTCGCCCAAACACAATCTGTTATATGTCTAATTATACTGGAGCTCCAGCTGCTATTGCAAAGGNTTTTTTTGAATAAACTCAAGACATTGCAAAGGCAAACAAGTATTCTTTGAACAAAGAGGAAAACTTAATTGCTCTACTCATTTCTGTCAGGTAAGATGCTGTTTGTGAAATGAATGTCTTTCATGAAAAACAACATTGGTGTTTGGGAGTAAAGAACAAGTCAATCTCACTGATATTTGTTTGAAAAATCACCTCCTATTTCTTCTCACTGTAAAAAAAGATAGAATGATTGAGGAGGAATTTTTCTGGGGCTACTCTATTTCTGTGGGATTTTAGAGTGTATGGAATTTGGCAAATTATTAAATTCAGTCATAGCTTTGTTTTTCTCTGGTTCTTACAAAATAAATTTCCAAAGAGAACAGCTTCAAAAGCAAAACTATATGTAAGAATTTGCCAACTTCTGAACACTCTGAAATGTTATAATTTGCTTTTAGCAACACAAATAGAATAAATCTGGACCCAGATGGAATTTCTCATGTTTCATAGTAGATCTGGTATCTGAATGTCTGATAATATTCTTACTTCTAACCATAAAGTGATGTATTTCCCTTCTAGGAAGTGAACATTGAAAACCATGGGGGAGCGTTTTGACTGCCATTATTGCAAGGAGTCCCTCCTTGGTATGAAATATGTATTACGAGAGAACAAACAATACTGCATCAAGTGCTATGAAAACTTGTATTCTAACACCTGTGAAGACTGCAAGACTGCAATTGGCAGTGACTGCAAGGTAAGATAACTCCGGTGGGGAGCATAAAGAAGGTAATGTTTCTATTAGGATCCTTCATCGAGGCAGATGTCTGACAAAGGCTGTTGTAGGGACCTCTGTTTTAGATTTCTGCCGTTTGCAGTTTTTTTAATCTCCAGACAAGAATTTGAAATAACTCCAAACAATTATGACAGATACTAAAATAGTGTGATAATTACAACAACAAAATTACATTGATGGGAGCGCCTTTCACATTGGGAGGACATCCCAAGGCGCTGGACAGTCAGGAGTCAGGACCCGAGCATGGGGGAGGGGTGGGGTAGGGATGAGGGAAGGCAGAGAGGTGGGAGGGCAACTGAAGGCACGATCGAAGAGGATGGTCTTGAGATCAGACTTGAAGGAGGTAAGGGAGGAAGCGAGGCGAAGGAAATGTGGGATGGAGTTCCAGAGTGTGTGGGCAGAGAGACTGAAAGCCTGGCCACCGATGGTAGGGCGGGTCGGGTGGGAGATGTGGAGCAGGCCGGAGCCCGATGAACGTATGGAGCTGGCAGGTTGGTAGGGAATCAGAAGGTCAGAGAGGTAGGAGGGGGCAAGGCCATGAATGGCCTTGAAAGTGAGGACGAGGATCTTGAACTCGATCCTCTGGGGAATGGGGAGTTAGTGGAGTCAGGCGAGGGTGGGAATGATGGGGTCGCGGAGTGTGGTGCGCAAGAGTACATGAGCTGCAGAGTTTTGTACGATCTGCAGCTTGTGAAGGGAAGAGTTGGGAAGGCCGATGAGGAGGGAGTTTCCGTAATCGAGCCTTGATTTGACGAATGCGTGAATGAGGGTTTCGGCAGCCTGAGGGGTGAGGCAATGGTGGAGTCTGGCAATATTGCGGAGGTGGTGGTAGGCAGTACCGGTCATGGCGCGGATGTGGGAGAGAAAGGACAATTTGGGGCCAAACAAGAGTGGCCCTCTCATAGTGAAAGAATCATCTCACAATATTTGGAAGGTGCCCAAGGATATCATACACAGCATAAACACAATTAGGAGTATGTAGTAAGCTTGCCTTTGAAGATAACATACAGTGCAAGGCTAGGTACACTCTCAGTGATGCACTGTGGATGTACTGTATAAATGTTAAGGAGTTTTTAAGGATGAGAGGAGTTAAAATAATTGGACTGTATCATCAGATTACATTGAGTTTCATTGCAGTTATCTAACTGTGACTCTCTTTTGATGCATAGATCCCAGAAAGCAAAGTCAGATCCAAGGAGGTCTAACAAATTCAGTGGGTCAAGTTTCCTTCTGCTGATCGTCTTATTTTAAAACTGCCAAATCAAATATTGATATATGTAATTTCAGCAAGTGAGCTGATCCCACAGTGCTTGCTTGGAGACTAATCAGTGCAGAATAAGGAACAAAATTGGAACTGCCAATCCTACCTAGGTTGAGAGCCTAATTATAGCAAATACGTTCTTGATTTACTTCTCTTCATGTTTTTCTCCTAGGATCTCTCTTACAAGGACCATCACTGGCACGAGCAGTGTTTCAAGTGTGCTAAATGCAGCCGTTCTCTGGTTGAAAAGCCTTTTGCTGCAAAGGATGAGAATCTGCTGTGCACTGAGTGCTATTCCAATGAGTACTCCTCAAAGTGCTTCACCTGCAAGAGGACCATCATGCCTGGTAGGGTTACAGGTGTCCGTAAAATGAATGTAAACTCATCTGCCATTGGATTCCATGACTATATCCAGATTAAGCAAATGTCAAGCCATCATTTAATAGTTAAGAGATTTTAAATATATTATTTCAATAGCTTTTTTCTCAATGAATGGGAAAAATACTGAGGAGATAAGTGCAATAATGAGGTGCGAACATATTCGGTTATTCAAAAAAAATCTAAAACATAACCAGGTGGTGGCTTAATTTTTGAAGTTACATCCTAGTGTGAAGCTGAGTCATACATGATTATAAGGTCCCTAATTCAATCCCTGGTCAATACTAATTTAGCTAATCTCAGCAGGAGCAGTGAATGGTAGGGAGTGTTGCAATTGACTTCAGTGCCAGGATTGGATTTCTGCTCCTGATCACTTATCAATGATTCCTGTAAAAAGGAGCAGTTTGGGATTAAACAGCAGGATGCAAAACAGTTCAAATTGATGATAAGTTGCCTTTTAATTTTGAGAAATCGCCAAATGGAGTGAATCTGAACTTGACTTTGGATAAACAGAATTGTACTGACACCAATTTACACATGTTGATCTCTGCCATACATGGAAGAATCTAGGCCAGATTGTTCAGTCTCTTCTTTACATTAGATACCAAATGAAATAGATTTTCTATGCACCAGGAATATATATAAATTATGTATTTTGGGCACTTGTAAATGAATAGGATGACAACATCAAATACATTGTACTATATTTGTTTCTATTACACAGACTAACAGACTACTTTTATGCCCTGTAATGTTATCTTATATTTTATTTAGTGGAGGAATAGTTTCAACCAAGTTTGTCACAGAAGTAGGTCTATAATCACAACGTTGGCCAGTTTGGTGTTATTCATTGTTGAATTTGTTATTTTAATTAGAGATCATAAAACTGGTTCAAGATCAACAATGTCACACAGGTACAGTAAGGGATGTTCTTCTTAGTCAGAGCAGAGAGAGTTTGTGGTATTTCCCTTACAGACTTTGATGTTGATGCCATGCTGATGCCTTCTTTTTGCCATTTGAAGCAAACCAATGTCATAATCAAAAGTAGAGTAACCTGGAACTGAACGCTTAATTTATATTTTGTGTTGCTCATTGCATGGTCAGGATTAGTTAACAACTAAATCCCAACACTGGCATTCTGTGCATCTTCTTAGTTGTGTACATTCAGTATTCTAAAACTAGGTGTCAGTACGTGGTTTTAGAATATTTCGTTTTATGCTATTGAAGAACCAGTCACACGGAGGTACAAATCGAAGTGCCACTGAAACCGCCTACTCAAGGTTGTCTCAGCAACAGGGCTCCAATACAATTCATGCTGGCTTAACCCAGATTTATGCTGTGTGCTTTATCCTGCAGCATGAGAGGCAAATGTGGAGAAGTGTTCAGTTTCCCAGCACTGATTCCCACCACTTTAATGAATACAAAAATATATAAAAACAATATAGTAACCACAGAAGTGGCTTGTGCCTGGAATGTATATAAATTATGCGTTATAGGCACTTGTGAACAAATAGGACGACAACATCAAATGAACTGTCCTATATCTGTTTCTACTACACAGACTACTTTTATCCCTTATAATATAATCTCATTATTTTACTTAATAGCACTAGTTTAGGTTCAATGGGCTGAAAGGCCTTCTCCTATTATACTGTAATTTCTACATTACTATAAATTATGTGGAAACAATGGGCCTGTTGCGGCTCATGCATTTGGCCTAAAATTAACACCTGCACAATCATCCTTAAACAACTCTCTAGAGCAGCAGAGAACAAATTCAACCCTATAATTCACCATCCAGTATTCACTATGAGGCATCCAATGTGTCCGAAAGAAATACCTAAAGTACCGATACAGTGTTGCAGTAATTAAAAAAAACTGTACTTTTTGATGGCAGGATCTCGCAAGATGGAATACAAGGGAAACAGCTGGCATGAAACCTGCTTCATCTGCAAACGTTGCCGACAGCCCATAGGAACCAAGCCTTTTATCCCCAAGGAGAATGATACTTACTGCGTTTCATGCTATGAGAAGCAGTTTGCTCTACAGTGCTCGGCCTGCAAGAAGGTAGTGTGACATAAATCCAAATACTGTTTGTAATTGTATTGTTCCTCCGCACCTACTTGATACACTAGTATCCAAGCAACAGTCAGATGAAGCTACTCACTGCAGAGTTATGCCTCTAGACTCAAAAGACAGTAGATAATACTAATTAAGCAGCAAGAAAAGCTGGCCAGTTGATTTTCTTTGCTTTAATCCTGTCTGCTAAGCCTTAGGACTGAGTTGGATAGATATTTGTTAGGTAAGGGTAACAAGGGATATGGGCAAAGATGGGTATTGGGAGTTGAGGTACAGATATCCATGATCCAGTAGAATGGCAGAAACAGGCTCGAAGGGCCCAATCGCCTACTCCTGTTCCTATGTTTCAATACTCTTCCTGTGCTATGAACAAGCACAAAAGAGTTGGTGCATTAACAGCCGTATTGTCACTCACTCCCCCTCAGCGATGATCCAGCGAAATGAAATAGAAATCACACAAGGAGAAGCATACTTCTTTGTTTTTTCTCCCAAATGATATTTTAGGTTTATAATAGTTCGAGATTAAAGTGAATTAAAGAGAAACAAAATTCTGTCAACAACTCCCCAAAAATAAAGGGTGGAAAATATTCGGAAGGCTGCTTTCTATTTTCTGTTCTATCCATTGAAAAAGGAACTTACCATATCAGGTTCATGAATCTAGGGTGAATTTATCTTTCACTGGCTAACCCTGGACAGAGATTATCATCTTTCTTGGTCCTGGATATCAAACATATTTTCAAAATGCATCCTAAAAGTGCCCAGAACTCAATCTGGATACCTCATTTCTTAGTTATTTCTAATTGCCAGACCTGAGATGTTCAATACACCATATTCATAAATACAAATTTTAGTCTGGCTCCAACTGCAAATGCAATTTATGAATATAACAACAAAATTACATTTGTAAAGCGTCTTTCACTTCGGGAGGACGTTCCAAGGTACTGAACAGACTGTGCCAACAAATTTAGGAGGGATAAGATAACCATTTGAAGCTATTTGGCACGTTATAAGAGATGGCATAGCATGCTATATTTAACTTCATACTGAGAAGATGGGCAATGCACACTTATGCTATATATAGAAGTGAAATTGATACTTTCATAACCTGTTTGATATGATAATTATGAAAAGCTGCAAAATTCACCCTATCATTTCCAAAGATGTTTTACTTGCATTGATCATATTCTGCTTGTTTCTGCTCTCACTCACTCAGCTTTCCCTCAACTTCACAATATTGCACGTCTCCTCCACTACCTGTACCCTGGGTCATCTACACCTTATCGACACATGCCACCTTTGTCGATCGACACATGTCAATCATGCCATCATTCTTGACTGCTTCTCCTTCCTCACTCACTTCATCCACTGCCTCTCCTCCCTCATCCATCTCCTATGCTCACACTCTCCTGGTTTGAGTCTTACTTGACCCACCTCCATCATTCTGTCTCCACAAATGTTTCTTCCTCTCACCCCCACATGGTCATCTGCAGGATACCCAAAGGCTCTATTTTCCATTTCCTCCTTCTTCTTATTTACATGCTCCATCTTGGTGATATCATTTGTAGTCATCGTATCAACTTCCACATATATGCAGATGTTACCAAAATCTACTTTTTCTCTTCTAGCCACGACCCCAGGGCCACTGATGTTCTGTTAGTTTGTTTGTCAGACATCAAAGTCTGATGAGCTTTGAGCATCATGGGATGGGATGAGCAGCAACTTTCTGCAGCTATGGACAAGACAGAAGCCATACTCCTTGGTTCCCATTCTTGATTCCCATCCTTAGCTCCCATCAACATCAACCTGTGTTCCAACCTACTTAGCCTCAACAGTCTATCCCTTAAGATCCTCACAGTCATTGACAAATTATTTCATGCCCTACCATCTCCCTACTTCTTTGACCTGGTTAAATCACACTCCTCTACCCGCCACCTTTGCTCAGCTGGTTCAAGCATTCTGCAAGTCCCTCAACCCCTCCGTGCTTTCAGGCTCTGCACCCCAAATATCTGGAACTCCCTGCCTCAGTCCCTCAACCTTGCCCACTCCTTTCCAGTCTTCAGATCGTGCCTGAAGACCTTTCTTTTCAATCGTAACTACGATGACTTCCTCTCTCTCCCTGGCTCAGAGTCAAGCTGCACAATTGTTAAGCACCCAGAGACACTACCCGGCTTTACACAGGGTGCTATATAAATTTAAGTTATTATGTCCAGGCTTGATTAAATTAATGCTCTACTTGCCTGCAGACTATCCAGAACACCCACCCTCAGCTTCAGTGCCAAGCTAGGACTGTCAGGCTCTTTGGGATATCCTCCCAATGTGTAGAGGTGTAAATTGTATTGTTCCTTTCTTTCCTCTACCTCAGGCTATCACCACTGGAGGAGTGACTTACCATGACCAGCCATGGCACAAGGAGTGCTTTCTGTGTACTGGATGCAAAATGCAACTGGCAGGTCAGCGTTTCACTTCCAGGGACAACTTCCCATACTGCCTGGATTGCTTCAGCAATCTCTATGCTAAGAAGTGTACGGCCTGCGCCAAATCAATCACCGGTGAGTTATGTTACAAACAATAAAACCAGAGAAATAATATATATGACCTTTATGTTAATATGTACATCAATAGGCAAATTAATACACACTTTTTGCTTACATCTTTCGTGGTAAAATGTTTGGCATGCTAATCACCAATTTGTTGCACAATACTGAAGTTAAGTGAGAATAAGCTTGCAGGGAGCTGCGTGGTAGGAATCTCAGCTCTCAGTAAATTAATAAATGCATACATTAAAAATTAATTTCAATTAATACACAAATTAATTACATCAAAAATGTATTAAATTAATGCACAAGCGGAACAATTCTGTGGAGGGTGGGAGTTATTGAATTAAGAGAATTTGAAATCACACCTTTGAACCCTTATCCACCCACAAAAACACAGTCACTTCACTTTACAATAGATCTTTGTGAAGCACTTTGGGATGCCTTCCTTACATAGAAGGTGCTATATCGATTGCAAAGATGAATATTACAATTATTATTAACACACTTACATAACAACATTGTTGTCAGTTGTTACAAAGGAGCCGGAAATATGCACACCAGCACAGAAGAAAGCATTCATGACTGGGAGATGGCGATGCAACATACGGGCAATTGTACCTTCACTGTTATCTTATACAATGTTACCTCAACAGGACTTGGAGGCGCAAAATATATTTCCTTTGAAGATCGCCAGTGGCACAACGACTGCTTCAACTGCAACAAATGTGCCATCTCACTGGTCGGGCGAGGTTTCCTCACTCAGAGAGATGATGTCCTCTGCCCTGAATGTGGCCGCGATATTTAAACTGGAGAACCAATTTTTGCCTGGATTTGGTATAGCAAATGGTACAGCATTACTGTAGGTCCTTAATATACACATATCCTGATTAGCACAGATTTTAGTAGAGAAATAGTCAATAATCTTTTATAAATCTCTCTAACAGAAGACTGGCATGCATTTTTTTTTGTAGTCCCCACCCCCCCTAATAGAAAATAGTTCTAAAATTTTTCTTTGTGTTAACTTCCGTGATTATTATCACATCATATATCACATTTTCTCTCCTCCATAATCTGTGGCTCCAAATATCTACTTTTAAGACTGCACTCATTAAAGCAGTTAGATTTGAAATGACCGGGAAAGAAAATGCAACAAGTGTAGATGGGAAGTCTGCAAGGAGTAATTTTAACTAGAAATTCTCAGCTCCACTGGCTAAGCAAAAGTGCCGATACCTAAAATAACACAGCCCATAAGTCAAGACAGACACACAAAAGAGTTGCATTCAACAAGATTAAATAAGAAAGACAATACTTGACAAATGACTGTCTTACTGGTAAGTGAGTGGAGCTGGGGAATGACAGGCATTTCGGTGGATCAGGATAATGTCAATATTTTGCTTACATGAAAACTGAGAAAGGGTAGATCTGTCAGCACATTGTGTTTCTTTAAAGTCAGTTGTACAGGACATACAATAATGAAAATGTGTGAGATGTGTTCCAAATCACATGTGAAATACTGTGGGGACGAGTACTTAATATTTGTGGTTGTAATACAATCCATCCTACTCAAAGTTTGTATGATGGCGGTTTTGCTGCTGAGTTGGCTTAGAACATAAATACTATGCACGCAGAACATTAATAATAATAGTAAGAGCTGACGTGGTGGTATGATTATTCATAAAAATTCAAATGCATATGTAGCATGAATGATACATGTACGAATTACTGTATTTTATATTGTGGTATTGCTTTATCTATAGTACTTTAACTTTTCCTATCTACTAACTTGCTCTGAAGACATCACTGTTGTTCAATATAACCCATGAACCTAGTGCAGACCCAAATCAACCTATACTATGTACTAACAATAATAAAGACTCCCAGAATGATTCACCTTAGAAAATGTAACAATGATATGCTTTGGACTGAAATCCATCTATAGCTGGTTCTTAAAATGATGAGTTGAATAAGATTTGATGCGGAAATCTACGTAATGTTGTTTCATTGAATCTCTTTTATTGGTTTTTTTAAGGTTAGTTTGGTGGGAGAGGGTAAACTAGTTCAATGCACAAAGCCAGTCAGTCAAGATCCGCCACCAATCACATAGAAGTCAGAGAAACTGATCCATTTAATTGCTACGGCAGTTCACAAACCATTGTCTGGTCTGATATAGATGGATAGTAATAATAATCCTTGCATTTTCAGTTCATGGCTAAAGACCTTCCTCTTCGACTGTGCCTACGGTCACCTTCCCCCTCTCCCTGGCTCGGGGTCAAACTTCACCATTGTTAAGCCTTCCAAGATGCTACCCTATATAGGAACACTATATAAATGCAAGTTGTTGTTGTTATACTTATTTTTCTGTTGATTATTCCTGTTGTGGAATATGTGATATTGCATGTTCTTTTTCTTCATCTCTTATCAAAGCTTATCAAACCAAATGGGTTTTACTTTTTAAAATTCTTTTTCAATATTTTTAAGAGATTTATTTTAAATGTGCAAGCTTGACTCAGTTTGTAGTACTCTCACCTCCGAGTCAGAAGAATCTGGGTTCAAACCCGGCATCAGGACCTGGAGCTCGTAGTCCAGGCTGACACTCCAGTGTAATCTTTGGGGAGCGCTCCATTGTCAAAGTTGCTGTCATTTGGATGACATTAAACTGAGATTCTCTGAAAGGAGAAGGTAGTTTCTCCCAGTATTCTGTCCAACAATGCCCCGGGTCAAATTGATCATTTGCTTCATGGCTATTCGTGAGTCATTGTATGAAAATTGACTGCTGCATTCACCTACAAATACACAGTCACTATACTTTATAATGAATCCTGCAAAGCATTTTTAGATATTTCAATGACCTGATAAGGCAAATGCAAGGATTTTTATTGTTTTATGCTGATCACTGAGGGTGTTTGAATAAATAAAATAATATTAATAATAATAATATCCCATTATAAAGATATAGCAAAACAATAATGTATTTTTAACAAGCAGTAAAAGTATCACACTATTAAGCAGCACAAGAGTTTCCTTAACCTAGTATCTGTAAAAGGTGTAACATCTTTAATCTTTGTAATATTGGACACTGCAATTAAACATACCCATGGAACATTGCTTAATTCATGGTGTTCTTATAACAAACTAAATTATAGTAGTGATTGATGGTGAAATGGTACAATAGATGTACATGACTTAAGTATCTCATCATACTATTGCTGAATTCTAGAGAGCTGACTAATTTACAATGTATGCTATGAAATGCCACATAAATAACTCAACGGATGTATGGGTTTAGCTAATATGGTTTTATTAGCAGCAAATGCTAAATTAGGAATGAAACTATCTGCAGCCTAAAAATACACTCGCATTTTTAAATGTAGTTTTAAATTAGAATTGTTGCACGATAATCAAAGAAAATTGGATGTTGTACCAATAAATATATTGTTTAACAATTGCATTGAGTTAATTTTTTGCATGTATTCTTTCAAAGAAAACTACTTAGTTCCTATTCAATGCACATATTGTATTAGAGTTCACGAAAAGCTTGTGAAATATTTGCCAACAAGAGCATTTCAAAAACCGCTTGGGTTGTTTTTCTTTGGCATTCAGTCCATGTTGTGACACTTGTAATATAATAATCCTTGCATTTGATATAGCGCTTTTCACGTCGGGAGGACATCTCACAGCGCTTCACAGAACATACTGTAAAGTGAATTGACTGTATATTTGTGGGCGAACGCGGCAGCCAATTGCGCACAGCAGTGTCCCACAAACAGTCGCAGATTAAATACGACCAATTTATTATTGTAGTACAGACAGAGTTTACTTTCTACTAAGAACATTTTTATTTGGCAATCTTCTTACTACCTACGAAAAGATACAGATACTACACTTTACAGTGAATCCTGTGAAATGCTTTAAGACGTCCTGTCAACATGAAAGGCGCTATATTAAACACAAAGTTATTATAATAATAGTCCATGACCATATTTCAACACTTGTAAATTCTAGGGCTGTAGCACGGAGATACCGTTTATACATTTATCATCAAAGAGTTAGAAAATTAGTGAATCAATGCAAGACAAAAAACATTAATAACCAGACATAAGATAAGAGTGAACACTGCAGAAATTACACATAGGATCAATGAAGAAAATATTTGATTCAAAACTGCAGGTAAGGCAAGCAGAGGCTAGGCAAACTAATAATTATATTATAAATTGGTAGCAATTTGAATTTAAACACAGTGTCATTGTTTTTCCATTTTTCCTTTTGTATTACTCCTGTGGATAAATCCCAGTAGAAATCAACATTATTGCATTCCACGGGTTTTAAAACACCATAAAGCACTGACTGATAAACCTTTAAATGATTCAAAGATAATACAAATCATAAAAGCAAGTACAACTCTGAGCTTCCGGTCTCTTGCCATTTCAACTCTCCCTCTCACTCTGACCTCTCCATCCACAGTCTCCTACGTTGTTCCAATAAGTCACAGTGCAAGCTCGAGGAACAGTACCTCATTTATCTGCTAGGGACCTTACAATCCTCTGGCCTCAATATTGATTTCATCATTTGCCTCTGTTTCTGTGTATGATCATCTCTGTGTATCTGCTGTTTTTTAAACTGTGCTGATCAAGAATGAATAAAGACTGAGAAAACAGTGTATATGAGCAACTACATACATTTTATGTCAAGTTGGCAAATTTATGGATGATACCACAGACATGCTTAGAGAAAGTGTAGAATGGATTCCCCAATGAGGAATGTGAATCATATTTGTATATTTGCATTCTGATAATCTAATATAATATGCAATTCACCCAGACAGTCACTGTCTAGACTGGCCATTAATAATAAGGACCCTATCACCCCCATCCTCGCCCAATTAGAATATGCTGTAAAGTGAATTGACCGTATATTTGCAGGCGAAACACTAAAATATGAACGTGACATTAGTAGATTAACTAGCGATTGCTATGTGAGGACCATTTTCTTCCTTCCTGGTGTAGTGGCTTTATGTATTCATTCAAGGTGAGATGCTAGGATCAGGAAAAATGGAACATTTTATCACTTGCAAATTGTCGAACGATTGAGAATGCATCACTCACAAATTAGGTGTGACAAGGTCTGGGTCAAAATAAAACCTCCTTCCTATTTTACCCCAAGCATGCCTTAACTCTCTTTCCCTGATCTCAAGCCACCTCCTATTGCACCAGTGTAAGCTGTCCATTTCCCATACAGCTATCTTTACGATTTATTTGGAATATTGCACATGGTGTTCACCAACCCCAGCAAATGTTTTCTTTCACACATGTTTTGGAATTTCCTCCACAATAAAAATGAAGGCAAAAGTTCACTTAGCATTCCACTCAGTTAGACTCTTCTATGTCAAATTGCCGGTTTCATATCAACTTTCCCAAAACTTACTATTGCCATATGATAGACCCATTTTCTTCCTACATATGGGGTTTGGAAAGATAGTTAAAGTTGATTATCTCTCATTTCTGACAGAATTTTTTTGAAATGAATTACACTTACCTTTAGCCTACAGAACGTTAATCAGAAAGAGAATGCAGTAACGACACCACTGTAGTGATATCATATCAGAAGTGTGCTGGTGCCCCCTATGGCTAGACTTTACCTAGATACAGAATCATAGAAAGTTTACAGCTTGGAAGGACCATTTAGTCCATTTTGTCTTTTCTGGCGCTAGCACTCCCACTGGAGCTGTCTTCTGTAATCTCGATTTCTCTGCACTTTATCCATACTCTTTAATATTTTTCCTCAATTATTTGTTCAACTCGCTCTTAACTTTTGCTGTTATGAACTCAACTTCAACAGCCATTTGTAAAAAGGCATTACGGGGGAGAAATTCCACTTGGGTGTAGATTTACTATATTCATGAAACATTTCTGGGTGTCCACAATTGGAGAGAGTCTTCAATACAGACTTAATTTTGAAGTCAATGTTCCATAATTTTTTGCAATGTTCAGATTGATTTCAACACTGAATTCAATCTGCCAAATTCCGCATAATCTAAAATGTTACATGAATAGAGTAAATCTGGACTTAGATGAAATTTCTGCTCATATATATTCAAAGTTTGAAAAATGATGAGCTGACGAGTCTTTCTTTGGACTTTGCCACCTTGAGATACAGAATTCACCAGCCATGAATTTCACAATACAATATTCACAACTCAGAAGTCACCATTAATACAACTAGTGCAGTTTGCAATACACTCAATAAAAAGCTGTATTTACAGAAACATCACCTAAGCAGGATTCCAAATTGAGGCCAATCACTGAAGCAAACATCAAATTTTCCTCCAAGGCCGGAACAAGAGTTATTTCTATTCTGTGTCTGTTATTTAAATATCTGTTCTCAACTTCAAGTAAATGAAATACAGATGACAAAGTATGGATGTACTGTAGGCTGCAGTGTAGTGCTATCACTCACTGTGCATCAGTTTAAAGGTACTATTCTATTTTAGCTGGCACTGAGGATGATTATACTCAATCGCCAATAAAATGTTACAAACAGCAATAGCAGAAACAATTGGAAGAGTTTTCAAGCAAATTCGTGGTTGGTGGCTATTCATTTCAAGCCTGTCTAAGCCTAATACAGTCATCCCTGGCAAGCTACTCACGCAATTAGCACAATGCAGCAGTGCCTACTGGGTGAAAAATGTGATGTTTCTTGACAGATTCAATGTGTTTATAGATGTGTTGAAGAATCTATTAAGAAACATTGCAAATTTTCAATCTGTTACTAAAGACTGGCCCCAGGAATAGAAACATCCACCTCTACTTTTGCACTTCTGCAGTTAAAGCGGTTAAAGCGGTTTCCAGCACTTTCATTGCCGGCTGGTGATCATCATGTTTGGTGGTGATCACAGAACATAGCGTTTCCATCTGAGTTAATAATAATAATAATAACAATCCTTTCATTTGATATAGCCCTTATCACACTGCTGAGACATCCCAAAATGCTTCACAGAATATATACAATATATATATTGTAAAGTGGATTTACTGTGTATTTTGTGGGCGAAACACAACAGTTAATTACACACAGCAGTGTCCCACAAACAGTAAAGGATTGAATGACCAAATTGTTTATGGGGGTGTGGGGATTATTAACCCGGGAAAGCGATACTGACTTAAGATGGTAGACCCATGAAGTGGCACTGAAATGTCACACTCCACGA